AACAAATGCCTGGTTATGATCAGCAAAACATTTACATTATAATTTCTGATCTCTGCTGGTTTACTTTAGTAGTGAGCATGGGTTTAGTTAGTTGTAGATCAGTCTACTAAAAGTTTTTTCAGCCTAAGGAAGTAAACTTCTTTTGCAGAGGGGCTATTTGCAAAGGATAGTCTTGCTTGCTTTCACTTTCTTACCTACTGTGGTGCCTTTGGCCTCATTAGTAGTGCTTTCCCCTGAACCCACATTATCCCCTAGATTGATAGTGAGGGGCTGAGTCAGAGCTAGGGGTGGGAAATCTGAGGCCAGGTTGAGAGTCTGAGGTAGCTGGCCAGGCACCGGAAGGCACTGTGAGCCACTGGAATTGTGGCATCCATTGACCTGGAAGGTCAGAGTTGCTAAGCAGGTGGAACTGTGCAGCAAGTAGAAATCAGGGAGGCCAGAGTGTTGGAGTTGATGTGAGAAGAGGGCACCCAAAGGAAAGGTCAGGGAAGTCCAGGTCACATCAGCAGTCAGTCTCCAGAAACTGAAAGAACCATGACACCATTTGGGCAGCAGAGGTGGGACCTTGGGGTGAAGGTTCTTGGCATCTCAGTGTGGCTCAGCCCAGAAGCTGCTTAGGCACCCCTGCCCTGCCCGAACCACTCCCAGGGTGTGTGGAAAGCAGGTTATGGGTGTGTCTGCCTGGCAGGGGGCAGGAGGAAGCCTGGGAGGGACCTGTGCCTGAGCATGGAGGTTAAGGGTATGTGGCAAAGCAGGCCTGATCAGCCCTTGCTGGGTGTTCAGCCCATGATGCAAAGGGCCTTGGTTGCAACACAGCCCTCTTCTCTGCCATAACCCCAGGCGAGGGCTGGGAGTGAGGAAAGGGGTTTTAAGCTGCCTGCTTCACTGCAGGAGATAAACAAGCCTTCTACCTGGATGGGTGATTGTGACTCCATTCTCAAGCTTCCCTGCCCATTAACCCAGGGGCAGAATAGAGGAGACGCCAAGAGAAAGTTAATATGCTTCTGCTCAACAATCAGCACTCTATAAAAATCCCAGTTCTCTTTATAGGAGTCCTCCTGGCAGGACTGGGGATGTGGCTCAGGGTGGAGCACTTGCCTACCATGAGTGAGGCCTGGGTTCAGTCCCTAGCACTGTGAGGGAAGGAAGAGTTTACAAAGGAATATATTGGAATAAATATTATAAGTGAAGGTTAATTCATGAAAAAATGTGATTTATGGTCCTCTAAATAAGGAATTTTGCTTTGTATTACCCACATAGGAGACACATGATAAATATATGCAGATTTATGAATGTATATTTCTTAGGAGATGTCCAATAATCATTTCAAACTTAATGTTTTGGTCCTTTTTAAAGATATTAGTATAAATTGCTTTGTCTACTTTTATTTTTAATTTATATTATGAAATTAGAGCAACTTATAGGAAAGAACTAATTAACCTTAAAATATCATTTATGTCTCTTCAGATCAATTCTAATTATACATTTGTCAATATATTTGCTTTTTAACTTAAATTATTTCATGTATAGAGGTACATGTAATGATATGTAACAATAGTTGTATTATATGRTGATATAACCTTTTGAATATAATTCTCTTATTCTTGACGATTTGGGTCAATAATATTTTATTTTTTATTACTGGAAAATACTATTGATATTAAAATTTTTTAATAAATTACTTTTGGATTGTTTCCTTGGGACATTTTTCCCGAAGTCARATTTGCAAGTCAGAGGGCAAAAACAATTTCATAACTTCTGTTACATATTACCAGATTGTTTTCCAGAAAGGCTGAGGTAATTCGCCATGCTATTATCAATGTGTAAGGCACAATTCCAGTTTTAGACATCTTGGGCAGTCTCAGCACCCCTGAGAAGTATAATTACATTTCTAACTGTGGTGACTGAGCTGTAAAGATAGCTCTCATGAGTAAACTCAATATGTGGACTTTGAAATTATGGAACTGATAAAGCATGTAGCTAATCTATTCTATAATGTGGAACCACAAAGGGAGGAACTTTTGGGGCTGGAGAGTGTGAGGTGTTGAAGTGGAGGCCCCTTGGGACTAGTGTGGTACTGTGATTCTACTCTGTGGATGTTGTCAAGGCTCAGAGCCAAAGGGAAAGGGGGAGACCCAGGTCCCGGGGCCCTGCTGCCAGTGAGGTCTTTGGGCTGGTGAGGAATTTGGAGGACTTGGTGGAGGCAGTAGGCTTGGGGCACACTCTGGAGGCAGGACTGTGACAAAGCAGAGGATAACCAATGTCTGCCCCATGGCTGCACTGTGGCCACCCGTCACTGGGCCACACATCTCCTGTGTAGCTGCTCACCGAAGGCCTTTCTCATTAAAAATATCAACTCAAGGGTATTGGGGTGACTTTTTCCTTTATGACAAAGCACTGTCAATTTTATAATGGAAGTTGATAGAAATTATAGATTATGTGGAAATCCACTCATTTCTGTCAGGATGCGCTTGCCTGGTCCACAAAGATCCCTTTCCCCTGCTCTGACAGGGAGAAACTTAGACCTTTCCCTGAGAAGTGCATTTGCCTCATTGCTTATGCATGCTGACAGAGCATTGTGTATTTTCCAGCTTCCCCAGTGACTTGCAAAAATTCTATAACCTAAATGCAGAATATGTAACAGCTTATCGTAGAACTGGACCAGGAAGGTACTGCAAAGATACATATTACATGCAACTCAGAAAGGCAAAAAGGAGCAAACATAAAGTCTTTGCTAAGATGTTTGGTTGTTTAAAAATGTGTGTCTATACCCCCCCCCCCAGTACTGGGGTAGAATCCAGGGCCTTCCATGTGCTAGACAAGCAGTACTCTACCATTGAGCCACGTCCTTAGCCCATGCATATGCACTTTAAGGGAGTAAATTATATGGGATTATTGTAGACATCCCAAGTCATGAAGTTAAATGGAAATTGTGGTATAAAATTTTTCAGATTTCTAAGTCTCAAAGTAGGAGTATCAATGGGTAGAGAAAGGTAGTAGGAAGCATTCAAATGCCTGCAGGGGTGAGGGAGAGAAATAGAGCAGGGCTGTGATTGACCCACTTACGGATGTATTTAGTTTCTAATAATAGTTGATTGTTTTTGTAGTGAAGTATATTTGACAAAGTATACCATCTGAACCATTTTTTAAAAACCATTCAGCACCATTAATTACATTCATAGTCATTACTATTATTTCCAAAACTTTCCATCACTCTAAAATTTAGGGACTTAATTTATAATTAGTTACCTCAGAATTTTTTTTCTCAAAGAAATGGAGCATTGAAAGCCTTTGTTTTTGAGTTTCATCATATGCCATCCAGGTGGATTCTGCTGGTTATACGTCTGTTCATCAGTTTCCTTTCATCCTTCCTACCTTGCCTGAAGAGGCTGCCCATCCGGGTAGAGGAGGGAGGATATTGTTTTGTCAAGGGCAGATGAGTGGCTGTGTTCCTCTGATGAAATCTCCAGAGCAACTCCATTTATAGGAAGATATAGTTAGTCAGATTTCCTTTTACTTGTTTATTGTATTTTAAAGTTAAAAAGGCAACGTTGCGTTGTTGACAGTTTAGGAAAAAAATTAGGAACTTGTCATTCCTTTTGAACACAAATGCTATTATTATTTTCCTGTATTTCTTTTCACTCCTTTTTCACCTATGTGTTTTTGACATATTTGATAATTATGGATCTCACAAACATAGCTAGCTTTTTTTTTTCATTTAAATATGACTACAGTTTCTTTTTTTATATTGCTCTAATAGTCTTCACAGTAGTAAGCCAAGGAATTCAGGTAATCTCAATTTGCATGACCATACTGTTTTCTTTGACATTTAGGTTGCTGTAATTTTTAACTGTTATAAATAAGCATCTTCAAACATCTTCTTTCATAGTTTAACCCTTTCATTTTATGAAAGAGACAGAGGCAGATGGGCAGACACACACACACACACACACACACACACAGACATATCACATTGATCTTACTGCGGGCAGTGGCTCCTGCATCTTGAGTGATGACTTGGTCAAATCAGGGGTGGTATGTATTTGTGATTATGATAAACCCAGATAGATAACGAATGTTCGGTTTGGTTACAGGTTGTGAAAATCTTAGAGAAGCATGACCCCTTGAAGAACACCCAGGCAAAATATGGGTCCATCCCCCCGGACGAGGCCAGCGCCGTGCAGAACTATGTAGAGCACATGCTGTTCTTACTAATTGAAGAGCAAGCCAAGGATGCTGCCATGGGGCCGATTCTGGAATTCGTGGTCTCTGAGAACATCATGGAGAAGCTTTTCCTGTGGAGCCTGAGACGGGAGTTTACGGATGAGACTAAAATGGAGCAGCTGAAGATGTATGAGATGCTAGTCACCCAGTCGCACCAGCCCCTGCTGCACCACAAGCCCATTCTGAAGCCTCTGATGATGCTGCTGAGCTCTTGTTCAGGCACGGCCACCCCTGCCGTGGAGGGGAAGCTGGTGGTCCTGCTCAATCAGCTCTGCTGCATCCTGGCCAAAGACCCGTCCATCCTGGAACTCTTTTTCCACACCAGTGAGGACCAGGGGGCTGCCAACTTCCTCATCTTCTCCCTTCTGATCCCCTTCATTCATCGTGAGGGGACAGTAGGCCAACAAGCGCGGGATGCTTTGCTCTTTATCATGTCCCTCTCTGCTGAGAACAGCGTGGTGGCCCACCACATCGTGGAGAACACCTACTTTTGTCCAGTAAGTTCCCCTCCTTGGCATATTTTCCTTCCCCTCCCCTCTGTCTCTCCTGTGTTAATGATAAATACTTTTTATTCCTTTCCTCCCCACCCCAAGTTGTACCTCCTATGGGAAAATGTTTAGAGGAAATCTTTGGAGGGGGGAGAGAAATCTAAGTTTAGATGCTTTTTGGCTGAGTAATGTTAGCTCAAAATAAGCCAACAGAGGAAATGAGAAGTGYTGCCATTGCGGTTCATTTTTATTGGATTGGGAACAATTTTAGTTTTTTTCCCCCCAAGAACATATCCTCTTTCTAAATTCTTATCTTTTCAGGTTGATTTTGCTCCAGTGAATCAAAGGATGTGGTAGGACCCCTCTCAGCTGGTTTCACAAATTAATTTATTTTCTCTTAATTATAGAACTGAAGYATTGATTTTATTTTAAAAATGAATATGTACTTGCATATCTGATAACGAGAAATACTCTGATTAGTTTCTTATTCCATGGTATGGTGAGAAATAAAGTACAAGGTTCTTTACAGATATTGGAGTAGCCCAGGTCCAGTCATTTCAGAAAACCATGGGAATGATATGGCACTCATGGGAGGTCTTAGGTCTCTGAGTATTTTTTGGTGTTGGTGCTGTCTTTGGAAGGGGGACATAAATGACAGCTTTTTAGGTTTGTGTCTTCTGTTGATTGGGCAACAACTATCCGTACTTTCCCAGTTCTGTGAACATTTCCATTTTAGTTCCATTGTCTATTATTATTATTATTATTATTATTAGTAGTAGTAGTAGTAGTAGTACTATGGATTGAACCAAGAGGCACTTTACCACTGAGCTATAACCATAGCCCTTTTTATTTTTTGAGACAGGGTCTTGCTAAATTGCTGAAGCTAGCCTTGAACCTCTGATCCTCCTACCTCAGCCTCCCAAGTTGCTGAAATTACAGGCATGTGTCACTGCATCTGACTCACTGTCTCTCTCTCTCTCTCTCTCTCTTTTTTTAACCAGTCTTTATAAACTGTATTGCCTCAGATGTGTGGAATAGTTTGTAAGGCTCTCAGTGAGTTTTGTTAGAGTAGGTCAGGCAAATTGTCATAGGTAGGTTAGAGTCTACCTTGTTAATTAATACGGTATGAGTGGTTTTGACCAGGGTGGTTCACTACCTAGAGGGCATTTAGAAATGTATGTGGGGTGTGTTTGGTTGCATATTATAGGAAGGTAAGGTAGTAGGGAGGTGGTTAAATTGGCATTTGGTGTGCAGGGGCCACACTAGCCATACCAAATGATGGGAAGCAAGTGGAGCAACAGAAACTCATTTATTACTGGTGGGAATACAAAATGGTACAGCCACTTTGGAAGACAGTGGGCTGTGTTTTATAAAATGAAATAGAAACTGACATATGATACATCAGTTGCACTGCTTGGTATTTACTCAAAAGAGTTAAAACTTATGTCCTCACAAAAACCTGCACATGGCTATTTATAGCAGCTTTATTCGGGATTTCCCAAACTTAGAAGTAACCAAGATGTCCTTCAGCAGGTGAATAAAAACTGTGGTACATACAGACAATGACTATTATTTAACTAMAAAGAAATGAGCTATCAAGCCATGAAAAGACATGAAAGAATCTTAAATGCATATAATGAAATCAAAGAAACCCATCTGAACAGGCTACATGCTGTATGATTCTAACTATAGGACATTCTGGAAAAGACAAAACTATGGTGACAATAAAATGATTAGTTTTTCCAAATCAGGGCGGGGTGAAGGATGAACAGGTGAAGCACAGAGGACTTTTTAGGGCAGCAAAAGCACTGTGTATGTTACTGTAATGGTGGATACAGTCATCACACATCGTCCAAACCCGCAGTGCACAACACCAAGAGTGAACTCTAACTTGATGGATGGGCTCTGGGTGGCTCTGAGTTGTCTGTGGGGGGTGTTGATAATGGGGAGGCTGTGCATAAGCAGGGAGTGGGAGTATATGGAACAACTCTGTGCCTCTCTTTCAACTTTATTGTAAACTTTAAGCTGCTGTAAAGAGAGACTTAAGGAAAGGGCAGATATTTTTTGGCAGGTGGGGGTGGGGTGGTGGAATGCTCCCAGGTTTGRTGTTCGGTTTACTTGAATTGTTTCCAATAGTTCTGCTCTTAAAGGAGAGCAGGCATTGTAACAAATCACAGAATATCAGATGGTTTACTTGATAAGAATGCAAAATGCAGGTTTAAAAAGTCAACATTTACAAAAGCAAGATTCTCAAAATAAATCTAATAAATATAGGAAAGGCCTTTATGGAGAAAATTATAAAACCTTATTGAAGGGCATTAAAAAAGATGTAAATAAATGGAAAGCTCTTTCATTCATAGATAATGTACAGTGGAACATTCTTGCAAAATCAATTTGTGAAAGTTAATGCAATTTATGTTTTATAACTTTATATTATAAAAAAAGTAAAATGAAAATTTGGGAGAATACTAAAATGAACACCATATTTGTTAATACTTTGGTATTCAATGGTGTATTTTCATCTGTGCTTTTCATTTATTTTGCTGTGCCATTTGAAATTAACTTGCAGAAATCAAATAATTTAGTATGTTTTCCTACAAATGACATTCTCCTATATAAGCACAATACCGTTATTGTGCCTAAGAAAATTATTCAGTTCCTTAATATGATCTAATATCCAAACCTCCATCATACCCTGTGTCTCTTTAACCTCTAATAATAAACAACAGCTGCCACTTTTCTTCCCCCCTACACAGACTTTTGAAGGGACCAACCATCGTCTTATAGAACACCCCACATCCTGGGTTTGATGTTTCTTGTATAGTTTGACTTGTTCCTCTCCCCTGTATTTCCTACAAATTGAAGTTAGTCCATGTACTTGATTAAATCAGGTTATTGGGTTGTCCCACCCGAGATGGTGCTCCATTGGCTAAGATGGTGACTCTTGGATCTCTACAGTATAAAGGAAAAACTTTCCCTTTGCTAGGTGTAGTTTGTGTGGTGTTAATGTGATTTGAATAAAATCCAAATAGGGTTTTTTTTTTTAAATGAATGCAACAAATGACATTAGAAATTGCTTAAAAGTGTTCAAGGGCCAAGAATGGCTGAGATATTTATGAATTAGGGCAACAATGATATCATGTATTTTGGGGGTGCTTTCCATGTGCTAGGTGTTGTTCTCAGTGCTCTCCATGTATGAACTCATTAACTCCTCATAGCTGTAGGTTCTGGTGTCATCATTCCCTTTTTTGTAGTGGAAGACATCAAGTAAATTTTACAAGCCCACAGGGCTAGTACGATAGTCAGGGTTTGGACCTGGGCATTGTGACTCAAGAACCCATATGCATAAACAATGAAATTTCAAGATATCTTACAGAGTATCCAACCATAAAGAAAAGATTGGGATCTGGGGTTGTAGCTCAGTGGTAGAGCTCTCACCTGGCACGTTTGAGGTACTAGGTTTGATCCACCGTTCAAGCCACATAAAAATAAATAAATAAAATAAAGGTATTTTGTCTACCTCTAATACACACACACACACACACACACACACACACACACACATGTTTAAAAAAAGATTGGAATTAAGAACAAAAACACATACTAGGAGAAAATATTTACAATGAACATAACTACAAATGATTGGTACCCATAATATATAAAAATATTTGTAATGCAACAAATTAAGAAGAAAAAGGTGAAACAGCCTATTTGAAAAATGAGCAAAGGATATGAATACATGACCCTCAGAAGACACCAAAGCCAGTGACATATGAGAGTATGCTCTCATTCTTTCCTTGGAGTCAGGGGAGTGCAAATTGAATCCACAAGGGGACAGCGGCCAACACTCAGCATGGAGGTTAACTAGACATCTACTAACAACGAGTGACTTAAGACTACAAATTTAGGAAAGCAGTGTATCAGTATTTAGTAAGATTGAATATGTAAATACCCTGTGACCCTTCACCTTATGGGTATCTGCCCAAGAGAAACCTAGCACATGTTAGAACAGTGATTTGAAAAAGAGAAAAATATAAATTATAAAAGAAAAGATAAACTGGTTTATTCATACATCAATGCAATACTATTCAGCATTCAAAATGAATGAATCACATGTTTTAGCATGTAACCTCATCTACATGTGTGAAGACCAGGAATCTAAACATGTTGAGTAAAATAAGTAATAGCAAAAGGGTACATATAGTATGTTGGCTTTTACAGAAAATTTACATAAAGTTTTAGAACTCAAAATTATAATGCCTACTTTTTTGTATCTATCTACAGTAAAATTACAAAAACAAGCACAGAAAAATATTTACTAAGTTCAAAATTATAGTTGCTTTTGGGGGATGAAGGGAGAAGAAAGAGTTAAGAGTAGGSTTTAGTTCTATTGGTAATGTTTGATTTATTTTATATTTTGGTGCTGGGGATCGAACCCAGGTCCTTGTACATGCTGAGCACACACTCTGCCACTGTGGTTCTCTCCCGGGCTGTAATGCTTTATTTTGGGTGGGRAGAGTAGAGTGCTCTGAAAAAACATACCGCAGAATGTTAAAATCTGGTCTTGGTGATGGGTTTCAATTCTATTATGTTTTGTATGTTTGTAACATTTCATAATTTAAAAATTAAAATATACTGGGAGAAGAATGGGCCATGTTTTTAACATTTAGATTTTTCACTAACTGTGTTACCAGCAGATTTCACTGAATGACTGTTGCTTTTATAAAAACGTGTTTCACAATGTCGTACAGTCCATTAAAGTTGCAGGGAAAACAGCTGACCTTGTTTGCTAGAAGGGAAGACAAGCTTCGTTGTGTTAAGTTGCCCCTCAGGATAGATCCCATAATCTCTTTTGTACCCAGTTTTCTATAATTACATCTGACAACATAATTAAAAAAAAAAAAGGCCCCTTTATGTTGAAGATAAAAGCACACTCTATTAACCGTCCAGCTAAGGGCCACAGTTGACAAAAAGCTTTCTCTAATTAGTATGATTGTCAAAGCGTGTTAGGATCAGGCTGTTGGGAGGTAATGACTCTTTGAGGAAATTGGACCCCTTTTGGAAGCTTGTAGCTGATATGGAGAGCTGGCCGGTCCTCTGGCTGTTTATCTGGAAATGTGCTTTCCCAAGAAAACCAGGAGAGTAAGAACACTCAAGAGAACAATTTGGTGCCAACAAATGCTTGGGGACAAAATAACCCTATCACTTTAAAAAAAAAAAAAAAAAAAAACACTGAATATTGATGGTTAGGCCCATGCCATTTGTTACAAGTTGGCCAATGTGGAAAACAGCCCATATATACATAAATCAAGAAATGCAAATTGAAGTAAGTGACCTTTAGGTACACAGCCGCAGGTAGAAAGTTATTTATCCCATATCCAAAATTTATGAGGCTTTTTATTTTCGGAAGTTGTAGCAAATGGTCTCCACCAGGTGTTTTGCTGCCAGCTTCAGACTATAGCCATCTGCTGAAAATCTTTGTTTTTCTAGAATTAACTGGGTACCATTAGATGTTTAGAGATGGAAATCGCGTGACTTGTTCAGTGCCCTGTGCCTGTCATCTTCCAGGTCATCTTTCCTTACTGTGTGGAAACATCGCTATGGAAACATTGCTGTGCAGAAACCGTTCTGCTAATCTCGTCACATGCGTTATTTTCTTTAATCCTTGTAAGAGCTCAATRAGGAAACTGAGATTTAGAGAGCTTTAGTAACTGCCCGACAACCACAGAATTTGTCTCAAAACCACATTGGTCTCAGTGCTGGCCGGGCCACCCAGCTGCCAGGGAGCTGTGTCTTTTGTCTGTCTTTTCTGTATGGTTTTATATGGCTGTTAGTTTCTTTTAAGGATACTCTTGGGGGGAAATAAATGAAAACTATTGAGTTAATACTTACTGTGTTGGGAATAAATATAATGCTTTTCAGGTTTTTTTTTGGTGTGTGTATGTGTTCTGAGTCAATAAAAGGTTAAAATAGTGGATGGGCTTTTTATTTTTAATTAGTGATTATGTGTATATATTCATTTTTTTTTTATAATTTCAAAGTTCAAAAAATTTTAAAGTAGATAGATTGTGTTTTAAACCCTCGAATCTGGAAAATACCTAGAACCCATTGTTGCCTCTCCTTTTTCTGGTTCTGGTCCCACAGCACTCTTGAGTTCCTCAGGTGGCGAGTGGATCTTCCGTGCTGGGTTATTTAGTTGGTGGGTGCTCTTCTCCAGCTCGCCTGCTCTGACTGTTCCCCACTGTTTCCCCGGYGCTCACTTTGCCCGTGCCAGGCCCACGGCTGGGTTCTGGATCTGYGTGTGATCTGGGTGAACGAACCGAACTCTGAGCAAAGCCCCAGAAGGGAGGCTATAAATAGCAGGAAAGGTGTGGAATCTCCTTCTCAAGACTGGTGATTCTCTATTCTGCAGAACATTCCCTCCCGAGTATCTTTGGCACTCTGAAGAAGATAGCAGGCTGTCACCCTGTCCCACCTGGTAGTGGCAGGAACATGGCAGGATTCCCCACCCAGCTGCCACTTCTGTGCAGGGCGTGTCCTGCATGGAGCGTCCTTCCATCTGGACKGCTTCCTTCTGTTCACATCTCAGCTATGCCCTTTTCAGAATACTCATTTTAAAAAGTGAGTATTAGGTATGTGTTATTTTTAATTACTGTCACTGATGTATGTAATTTGAAAATTAATGTTGCTGTAATTATATTGATATACTGAATAGTTATTCCCAGCTTTTTAGTCAGACAAATTAAGCCTGTCTTTATGAATTCATCTTCAAAGCCTCAAAGTGGTTAAGAAATCAGGAGTACGCAGAATTAAAGCCTTTGTTCTGTGGTTAATTTAGCATGAGTTAGCAAATGTAATTGATTTTTAAAACGTGGCATCAAGATTAGATTTCTCTTCAAGGAGAACTTTTGGGCTCTGTTCTCTTTTGCCAGAGATTTCTAATTTACAACAGGCAACTCATCTGGGTCACATTCAAAATCAGAATTAAAGGGATTTGTTTGGATATGTTGACAAGGAGCTAAGTATTTTAAATAGGTGACATTTTCCTTTGGGCAGAAATGCCCTAATTTTGAAAAATAGATAAAGCTGTGATCTTGCTTACTGTTGATTTTCCTGTACTTAATGTAGTACCTGGCCTGAAGTTTTAAGTGCTCAGTATTTTGTTTGTTTTAAATGTGTGAGTGAGTAGATGAGTGAATAAAGGTTACTAGAAAGTGGAACAGAGAAATGATATATGAACCTTTGATTTCTCCAGTATTGGAATGGTTCATCCATTTCTTGTGCTGCCCTATATTCTGTACTGTAGATCCTATACCAGGTCCCCCACCCACTTCCCAGTCCCTCCGCAGCTTCATCTGGTTTCTCTGGGAAAACCTCCCAGGTCTGTACTCTTACTGTTACATTTGGTGTACTCCTCCTGGGACAAATCATTCATGCTTCTGGTGTGGACTGGGTGAACAGGTCAGATCAGGTGAGCAGGGGGATACAGAGAGTGCCTCAGGGAGGGGGCAGGTAAGGGGAAGGGCGAGGCTGCAGCAGGCCTGTGGAAGTCATTTCCCCCTGCTTTAGCACACCTAGGCCAGTGTCTCCTCCTGTTTTTCTGTTTCTAATGTCAGCCGCTGTGGGTGTTTTGTCATGTCTCTCCTGTCTAAATCTCCCTTTCTTTCTCTCTCAGGTTTGTGTGGCTTGAGGTGCTGGCCACACCTGGGCTTCAGATGGCTTCAGATGGCCATGTCCAGCCCAGAGCACTCCTTCAAGCATTAGACCCCCTGTCCYTTGGGCTCTCCCTGCTGGCCTGTGCACCCCTGCAGGATCTGGTGCTTATTTACCTAGCTGCCTCTGTCTACCTGTAACTCTACACCCACACAGCACTGCGCCTCTCCTAGGCCTGGAGATATCGTCTTTTCTTTCTCCATATCCCCAGCACTGTTTTCTTTCTTTCATTTTTATTTCAGTTGTTGATGAACCTTTATTTTATTTACTTATTTATACAGTGCCTCWCACGTGCAAGGCAAGAGCTCTACCACTGAGCTACAACTCCTGCCCCTCCATTTGAACTCTCGTCACAGCTCACTGACCCCACCCCCAGCTTTCTCCTTGCTATTGCTTGTGAAGATCAGATAATTTGCACAAAAGTACTTTCTAACCTGGAAATGTGTGTCAGCCAYGACCTTCAGTGTGTGAGGATTTGCAAGGAATCCTTCTCATAGAGCCCCTCATGGTTCCTACCTGTGCAGCCCTCTGTCCTGGGTCCCCCCAACAACTGGGGTGTTTGTGCTCAATGTATCCAAGTACACCATATTGTCCCTTTCCTGAGCTTCCTGGGGACAGGAGTCCTTTTTATTCATCTGTGTTCACCCCTCTCACTTCTCTCCCTTCCAGCCCAGCATGGTGCCTGGCACTAAGGGACCATCAACCGCTGCCACCCACCTGTGCAGTGGCCCAGTAGCTCTGGTCCTGTTGCTCCCTCCACTTGCAGAATGCTTCCTCACCAGCTGATCCTCCACCTTGCTCCTTCAAGTTTAGTCTTTGGCCTAGAAAATAGGTACCACTCAGGAGCTTCTAGTAGCAGCCTCAGAACTTTGGAGAAAGACTGTTCTGTTTTTATTTCTGCACAYAGGTGCTTGCCACTGGGCTCAGCGGGCTCTACTCTTCCCTGCCCACCAAGCTGGAGGAGAAGGGCGAGGAATGGCACTGCCTGCTGAAGGACGACTGGCTCCTGCTGCCGCCCCTCGTGCAGTTCATGAACTCCCTGGAGTTCTGCAACGCCGTCATCCAGGTGCGTCCCTTTGCTGGGGTCCCTTCTAATCTTAATCACGTTCATGGAATATGGGTGCTCTACTTCAAGCCCACCAAATGCTCTGGAATGAGCGAAAGTGTTTGTTTTGTAAGATTCTGGGAAGTCTCAATTGAGAAAAAAATGAGTAGATTATATCCTCTATAGATTGTGTTAATTCTGTTTTGATTATCCACATCCACTTACCCATCAAAATAAGTTCAGTGCCTGACTCATTAAATAGGTATTTTTAGGCTTTTAAGTATTCCAAATTATAACACTTTTACTTCAAGGTCTTCTTGGGAGTCTACAAAGGAAAACACTTTATTTTGCTTAATGGTGCATACCACATAAAGAATATTGTTATCCCAATTGAATTTAGAAGAAGTTAACCATCTTCTTAGCAACACAAATTAAATTTGCTTTGAAATTGGTCTGCTTAGGGGAAAAAACCAGCCACTGAACTCTTGTATATTTGGCTTCTTGATTAGATTTTTACCTTCAGATTCCTTGTTACTGTTTTCAGTAAAAATCAGATTTTATATATATTTAAGGATGTAGTAGATTTTCATAAAAATATTTTACTTTTATACAGCATAAATATTACCTTAATATTGGATTTATTATGAAATCCGTTTTTTTTTTATGGTGATTGGAGGGTGAAAAATGTTAAGTTTATCTGTTTATTTACCAAATAAAGAAATAGCTTCTGGAAGAAAATGCAAGTAAATTACTTTAGTTCCATTTTGTTTTTATTGTTAAGTCAAAGGAGGTTTTATTTATATGTAAGACAAATGGATCACATCTTCAATAATTTTTTAATAGTATAGCCTATCAAGATTTTCTTGCAGAAGTGTCTGGAAATAAAAATTCCTCTCCAAATGTGGGGGAGGGGAGACACACAGACATTATCAGTAATTTAAATATCTAGCCTTACTTATCTAGAATTGCTTTTCAGTTTTTATTTTCCTTCCTTCCTTCCTTCCTTCCTTCCTTCCTTCCTTCCTTCCTTCCTTCCTTCCTTCCTTCCTTCCTTCCTTCCTTCCTTCCTTGTAAAACTAGTGGGCAATATATTTTGAAATTGAAGCCATAAGTACATGTGTGTATGTGTCTGTTTTCTTTCTTTCTTCTTTTTCTTCTTCTTCTTCTTTTTGTTGGTGTGGTACCCAGGGCCTTGCTCCTGCTGATATGCACACACTGAGCTGAATCCCCAACCTGCCATATGCTTTTAAGAATTTTTGTTTGGGGATTCAACTGGAAAGGTTACTTCTCGTAGATACTGGTAAAGTATCATGCTGGGTATATTTTGACAGTCAAATATGGGAAGTGTTAGTACTTCCAGTGTTTTCTGGKTTTGAACATTGTCTATGTTTTAATGAAAAAAATTTTTTTATTTAAAAAAATTTATTTATTTTTATTGATGTTGAAGATTATCCCCAGTGCCTCACACAAACTAGGCAAACACTCTACCACTGAGCTACAACTGCAGCCCCTGAAAATATTTTCCAAATCCCTTTCTCTTTAACATAAATGACTATCAGAAAATGTATTTCAGAATGAGAAAATTCTTTCTGCTAGCAAAATAAGTATATTTAATTATCTGTTTGACAGTTATGTCTTTTTAAATTAGTTACAAGTTAAGATGGGCTCTAGAGGAAGTTAAGGAGTAAAATTCATACTTACCAGTTTGTTAATTTTAATTTATGAATCCTTATATATATTCAGTCTTTTGTCCCCCTCCATAGACTCTTTAAAATTACCGTTGTTTTTTAAATTTGAAAATCCAGCTTTAGCTAAGCTGTTTATACTAGGTTAAACCATTTGAAAAAAAAATCACACAGCAATTCTGAATTATTCTTTATATACTGTATAAATGACCCAAATTTGGATTTCCTTTTTGCATTGAGCATGTATACAGAAATGTTTGATTTTAAGACCTAAAGATTGTACTTTCTCTGCCTGCCTGTTTGTGTCCCAGGTGGCTCACCCCTTGATTCGCAATCAGCTTGTCAGTTACATTTACAACGGATTCCTGGTGCCCGTCTTGGCCCCTGCTCTCCACAAGGTCAGTGACTGGCTAATGAAATCTTCTGTCTGTTTATAGTAAACTGATGGGCACTGAGGAGGGTAGACGCAATGTAACTGACTCCACGGTGGCTTGAACCCCATTTGCCTTCTCATTGCGTCCGTACTTCTCAGTAACATCAAGCACAGGTCTTAAAAATAGCCCCTGTGTTTGGAGTAGTGGAATCCAGCCTGGTGGATGTCAAGTAAGGTCGTCAGTCTAGAGGAGCGTTGGCAGGTGGCCCCTGGATCTTGTGCCTATTCAGTTTGTGGGTGGAGGCTGCTTGGACCCTGTTAAGCTGTCCACTGAGGACGAGTCTGTCACAGCGGATATGAGTTGCCTAGAGAGGGGCAGTGTAGCCCGAGTGTCGTGGATTTGCCGTCTCCTTAATAGAACATGATTTTCTATTATAACAATTTTGTGACAGCAAAAATTAAAGTGAAGCCAAGTTAAGGTCCCATCAAAGGTTGGCTGTCTCATTAGCATGGCTCTGAATTCCTTATGACTCTCATTTTACATAATAAATCAACTGATATCTTTTCCATTGTGAGCTGTTATGAGACACCCGGGGACCTAGAATTCTAATTTTTTTTTTTCTTTGCCAAGTGAAGAGCCTTGTGTCATATTTAGTTCAGAGGATTTTTGTCAGGTTTCTGGAATTACCACTGCTGGTAGGAAGAGAAGCCAGAAGCAACTTGTATATTGTTTTGATGAAATGCTCACCTTTCTCCCTGCTGGAGTTCCATGCTATGGGCTCTTATTTTACAGAAGCCAAGAATACCTGACTGCAGCGGCTCTGCAGCCTTACTTTACATGCCAAGGGGTTTCTGACATAGAGCACTGGTCTTGATGGAAGATGTTTCTCTCTTATCAAGTGCAGGGCCTTTTGAGCCTCAGAGCCATGTTTTCCAAAACAAATAGAGTACTTGATCTGACTAGGATTTTTGTGTTGCTTCTAGGTTCAAGAGGTAATCTTGGATATGGTTTAAATATCAAAACACTGAGATTTTTAGTTGTTTATGGACACAAAGGGACCAAGTCTGTGAAATTGGATGTGTCTTAGAAAATAAAGCAATATCTTTGGAAAATACAAACCTTGCATTTGTTTTGAGGCTGTCTTTCTGTTAGTCTGTATGTGGTTGTTTGGGGGATGGGTGAGTGTATGACACTGACCGTCTCTGAGCCCCTATGTGGAGGAACTTCCCACGTCATAAGAATACAACAGTGCTATTGAAATTCTTTGCAGTAATTATTCATAGGCCTCCTCACACAATTAGACTTTCTTCCTCATTTATTCCTGTCCTTTTCCTCATTGACCTGTTGACAAAATAATTACTATAATAGTGACAATTATTATAATTACTATTTGCTCAGAACAATTCATGTTATTATAATTAGCATATTTTAATGTTACAAATAATGACAACTCTTTTTAATGCATTAGTGGAGTTCCATGAAATGTTTTGATAGATGTGTACATTGCATAATGTTTACATCAGGTTAAACATATTCCTCAGACATCTTCTCATTTCTTTCTTTTTTAAAAAAAATTTTTTCGTTGTTGATAGGTCTTTATTTATTTATACTTGGTGCTGAGAATCGAACCCAGTGCCTCACACATGCTAGGCAAGCGCACTACCGCTGAGCCACAATGCAGCCCTCATTTATCATTTCTTTAGTGAAAACTTTCAAAATCCTTTCTGCTAGCTTTTTGAAATGTACAGTTCATTATTGTTATCTGTGTCCACCGTACCTTTTCGTGGCACACCAGGACTTCTTGCTCTTAGCTAATTATAACTCAGTATAATGACAGTTCCTCATCCACAGCCRAGGATGAGCTCCGCCCCACAGCGCCTTGGTGAGGCTCTTGCTGGCCACACCCCACTGCCCTTCTCCCTCACAGCACCAGGCACAGGTGAATCCCCTCGTTAACTATGCTTCTGCCCACACAGGGACATGCATGCTTTCTGGGGGCAGGGTTCCCATGAGTGCTGTTCACTGGGTAGCCTAGGGTTGAAAAAACAATACATAAGTGAGATCTTTCTTCAAGTGCCAACAGAGTGCTGGCCCTTGGTACCTTCCTGGACAGTGCTTTGTAAAAGACTAATAGCTAGCTCACATTTTACATAGCTCTTTATATATTATCTGTTATTATTCTCAATTATGCCCATAATTAAAATAATGAATATTTTAAAACTATGGAGCTATACATGTTGTGGGGAAAAAAACCCACCTAGAGCCAATAAAGACTATAGAAAATGAATGAAATTGTATTGGATTTGAATTTGCAGCTCCCTAATTAAGATTCTTCAACTTTTATCCACGGCAGACAATTTCTCCCAGGGTTGTTTAAGCACCTAGGGAGAACAAAGACTTGAGTTTTACCCTCCTCAATTAATTTTTCTTCCTGTTCTCCATCATTTTGTTTGTGTTTTTGTCATTTAGAATTAAAAAGGCTGGGAAAGCAGTGGGCTGGGGAAGGCTCACCACCTTTCATGAGCGGCAGGATGGGGAGAGGAGCAACCGCCCAGAACCGGGCGGCTCTTGGGGGGTCCCCAGTGGGAGCAGCTGTAGCCTATTTCCTGCATCAGCTCCTTGGACAGGGGAAGGGACGCCTACAGTTTGGGCTCAGGTCTCCCGTAGGGGCTCTGGTCCATTGCCCTGACACGTGCACCTTAGTTAGGTGTCTAAATAAATCTTTGTGCACTCAGTCCCTAATTTATACTTGACATGTTAGTTACCTGCCATCAGCCTGGGCAGCTGACAGAGGCGAACTCAGTCTGTCTCCTAAATAATGTAAATAAGTTCACATTTAAAAATGTCCCCACATTGCCATCGGTACCCACACACAGCATCCCCACAGCATTTCTTTAAACTAGAGACAAGTCACTACGAAATGTCGCGGGTGGCAGAAGGTGCGGAGCGGGTGCTCCCGAGTGAAGGTTGGTCCTCTCTCCTTTCTCTCTCTGTGTCTGTGCTGCAGGCCGTCTCGTCTCCACAGGCTGTTCTTTTTTTTTTTTTTTAGAGAATTGTAATATTTATTTATTTTTTTAGTTTTCGGCGGACACACATCTTTGTTGGTATGTGGTGCTGAGGATCCAACCCGGGCCGCACACGCATACCAGGCGAGCGCGCTACCGCTTGAGCCACATCCCCAGCCCAGGCTGTTCTTTTTTTAATATTTATTTTTTAGTTTTCGGCGGACACAACATCTTTATTTATTTTTATTTTTTTATTTTTTTGTATGTGGTGCTGAGGATCGAAACCAGTGCGGCGCGCATGCCAGGCAAGCGTGCTACTGCTTGAGCCACATCCCCAGCCCCATACTGCAGGCTATTCTGTTCGTGCTTTTCCTCATCCAACACTGTGGGTGGCCATTTATTCTGCTGTGTTAACACAAAGGTAGACCTGGTTTTCTGTTTGTTTCTTTTCTGTTTTGTTTTAAAGGGCTGTATAGTTTTCTGAAATGTGGACATACGGGTTCACAATTCCTCATCTACAACCTGAACTTAAATGAAATGTTTTCTTCTAATTCATTTGGCATACAATCTAACCTTTATTGAACTCAGTTATTGTCCAGCTCTACCTGAACCATCTCAAGACTCTTTACTTTCATCCACTTGCATTAATATACACATACATACACACACATATTTTTGGTACCAGGGATTGAACTCAGGGGCACTCAACCACTGAGCCACATCCCCAGCCTTATTTTGTATTTTATTTAGAGACAGGTCTCACTGAGTTGCTTAGCACCTTGTTTTTACTGAGGCTGACTTTGAACTCGAGATCCTCCTGCCTCAGCCATCCTAGCCATTGGGATTATGGGCATGTGCCACTGTGTCTGGCTAACACTTATATATTTTGTGGAAGAAATATCACTATTTCTTTATATTCCAAGATCTCCTGGGGATGGATGTTATACCAAATGTGGCAGATGCATTTATTTCTAAAAGTTTTGAATTTCAAAATATACATGGTCTCCAGGGTTTTGGAAAAGGATTGGAAGACTATTCTGGACATTTGGAAAAGGGGGAATTTTTCAGATAGGTTGAAGTTATACTTTGTCAAAGTCACACGAAGAAAACAATGTTGAATTATTACAGGCAATAAGGAATTAGGCTCAGCCATAGATAGGGGTATCACATTCTGCAAAACTGGTTACTTTTTACTTCAGATTAATGGGACAGACTTTATTCAATAAGAGCCACTTTTCTTGTGTCAGTGTTTAGTTTGTCAAAGCTAATATTTTGAAGCAGAATGTGCACTGGCATTAGCCTGGGTTCTCAGAGAAGCAGACAGGATGAAGTGCACTGGGATTTTATTTCAGATGTAAGAGGAAACAGGAGTGGAGAAGGGGAGGGCTGGGAGAAGCCGGCCTGGAACTCCGTTTGACTCCAAGTTAAGGAGCCAGTGAGAGGAGGTGGGCTGGAAGGGCCCAGCTGTGTCAGAGGAGGCCCCGCCAGCCAGCTGGGAATGGGCCGCCTTGTTCACTTGTTCACTGGCTGGGAGCAGTGGGCAGAGGGTGGCCTTGGAGCACACATAGGGCTGATCCCAGGTGGTCAGCAGTGCTCCCTGTGGGTGGAGGTTCGAGAGGGGTTTCCTGATTGTAGATGTGAAAAATATGGGCATGTAAATGTAAGTTTATAGACCTCCTTCCTGGTGTGTAGAATATTCAGGAGGCCACATGGACCCCTAATGGTCATTCGGTCAGTATTAACAAAGGAGCTTCTCATGTCAGTTAGGATGATTATAACAAGGTCAAATCTTAGGTGCTGAAGTCACAGACGTTTTTTTCTTGTTTTCATCTTGGGTGTGAGACGAAGAATTTGTGGGTAGCTTCTCTTCATGTGATCCTCCCACGGGGATCCGGGTTGATAAAAACCTTATCATCTGGAACTAATATCACCCCCTGAAATGTCAGAGGGGAGAGAGCTTAAGGAATGGCCCAGTGGTTCATGAAGCTTTTGTCTGGGAGTGACTCGTGTCATTTCTGT